CACACAGCCGGGTGGAGAGGACTTGCAGCAAGGCAGCGGCTGGAGGACCAAGATGCGCAGGGAGGCAGCTAGCGGACTGGGGGTCCCACATTCACATGCAGATAAACTGGGAGGAACAACTGGGGAGCGGGACAGACCGCACAACCCAGGGCCCCAGCACGGGGAAATAAAGCCTCAAAACACCGATTGAAAACACCTGTGGGGGTTGAGGCAGCAGGAGAAACTCCCAGCCTCACCGGAGAGTTTGTTGGAGAGACCCACAGGGTCCTAGAACATACACAGGCCCACCCACCTGGGAATCAGCAGCAGAAGGGCCCAGTTTACTTGGGGGAAGCAGGTGAAGTAACTGAAATCTGGCAGAGAGCAGAGCTATCGCCATTGTTCCCTCTCGGACCCCTTCCCCACATACAGCACCACAACCTAGCGACTGGCTTGCCCCACCCTGGTGAACACATAAGTCTCTGCCCCTCACTATGTAACAGGCGCATCAATACAAAAAAATAAAAATAAAAATAAAAATAAGGCCCAAATGAGAGAACACATGAAAGCTCCAGAAAAAATACAACTAAGTGACAAGGAGATAGCCAACCTATCAGATGCACAGTTCAAAACACTGGTAATCAGGATGCTCACAGAACTGGTTGAATTTGGCTGCAAATTAGATTAAAAAAATGAAGGTTACGCTAAGTGAAGTAAAGGAAATTGTACAGGGAACCAATAGTGATGGGAAGGAAACTGGGACTCAAATCAATGGTGTGAACCAGAGGGAAGAAACAAATATCCAACCAGAAAAAATGAAGAAACAAGAATTCCAAAAAACGAGGAGAGGCTTAGGAACCTCCAGGACATCTTTAAACATTCCAACATCCGAGTTATAGGGGTACCAGAAGGGGAAGAGGAAGAGCAACAAGTGGAAAACTTATCTGAACAAATGATAAAGGAGAACTTTTCCAAGCTAGCAAAGGAAATAGACTTCCAGGAAGTCCAGGAAGCTCAGAGAGCCCCAAAGAAGTTGGACCCAAGAAGGAACACACCAAGGCACATCATAATTACATTAGCCAAGGTAAAAATGAAGGAGAGAACCCTAGAAGCAGCAAGAGATAAGGGGATAGTCACCTACAAAGGAGTTCCCATCAGACTGTCAGCTGATTTCTCAAAAGAAACCCTGCAGGCAAGAAGGGGCTGGAAAGAAGTATTCCAAGTCATGAAAGGCAAGGACCTACATCCAAGATTGCTCTATCCAGCAAAGCTTTCAGTCTGAATGGAAGGGCAGATAAAGTGCTTCCCAGATAAGGTCAAGTTAAAGGAGTTCATCATCACCAAGCCCTTATTATATGAAATGTTAAAGGGACTTATCTAAGAAAAAGAAGATAAAAAAATATGAACAGTAAAATGACAGCAAACTCACAATTATTAACAACCACACCTAAGACAAAAACAAGAACTAAGCAAACAACTAGAACAGGAACAGAAACACAGAAATGGAGATCACATGGAAGGTTATCAACAGGGGAGTGGGAGGGGGAGAGAGGGGGAAAAAGTACAGAGACTAAGTAGTATAGATGGTAGGGAGAAAATAGACAGGGGGAGGGGAAGAATAGTATAGGAAATGTAGAAGCCAAAGAACTTGTATGTACGACCCTACATACAAGTGGACATGAACTAAAGGGGAGGAATGATGGTGGGAGGGGGAAGTACAGGGCAGAGGGGAATAAAGGGGAGAAAAAAATGGGACAACTGTAATGTCATAATCAATAAAATATATTAAAAAAAAAAAGATACGACCACCTGACGCTGGGACCAAGGCTGCAAAAGGCAGCTCTGACGTGGGAGGTAAAGGGGGAGGTGCTGCAAGTTCTATCTGCCAGCAGGAGATGCAAGCACATGGTACAGCACCCCCATAAGCTGTTTGCTACCTAGTGTGGCTATTGCAGGTGGGAAAATTCCTCAGGGTGCTGATATGTAACGCTCCCTTTGTAGATACTAAAGCAGCAAATATGAAATTTTAGGAAATTACCTTTTTAATCTTCCAAAAGAAAACTATTTTGGTCCCCCCGCAAATAATCAAATCAGGAAAAGTGGGTTCCTCAAAAAGCCGAAGAAGGAAGAATAGCCCGGGGCTGAAGTCATGCCAGTGTGGAAGACAACAGATGCTCAGGGAACAAAGCCACGAGCTCAGCCTCATCTGTATTAGTAAGGGTTCTCCGGAGAAATAGAACCAATCGGATGTGCAGAGGCTTTTAACGGGAACTGGCCAACATCACCTGCTGTCTGCAAGCCGGAGGCCAGGGAGAGCTCGTGGTGCGGGTCCAGTGCGAGCCCGAAGGCCGAGAACAGGGAGCTCTGATGTCCACGGGCAGAAGGCGGATGTGCCAGCTCCAATGGAGGGCGAATTCCCCCTCCTCTGTCCTGTTGTCCGGTTCAGGCCCCCATGGATTGGAGGATGCCCAAGGGCACCGGCGAGGGCAGTCTTCTCCACTCAGTCCACCAACTCCAACGCTAACCTCTTCCTGAAACACCCGCACAGACACATCCGGAAACAGTGTCTTCCCAGCTGCCTGGGCATCCCTCAGCCCAGTTAGGTTGACACACAGCAGGAACCATCACCCCGTCTGAGGACACCCATCACTAATCGAAAGTGCCCTCAGCCCAGACGAGCAGCGCATTCACTAGGAACTCAGGCGGGCAGCCCCGAGCCTTCAGGCACATGGTTAAACAGGCTGGTGTGGAGATCCTGTGAGGTGGCTGACGGGCTCACTTCACGTGTCTCTACAGATGCTGAGCATGTGAAACAATCCTCCTCTCCTGATCTCTGGCACATTCGTTCCTAGACAGATAATGAACTCAAAACGTTAAAAACGTAGCTACTGTCTTCCCTCTCCACCGGAGTTCTCTGTACTGACTGGCTAGGCCTCAAACCTCATGGTCATCCTTGATTCCACCCCCCTTCCTCACATCGCTAACATTTCTATCAATAGTCTATTTTCCCTGCCATCACACCTCTCAGGGCCTTCCTGTCCCTCTAGTGCATACTCTACAGACACCAGAAGTACCTTTCTAAGCACAAATATTTCCCTGCTCAAAAATTTAACAGCTTCTCTTTGCCCACAGAATCAAAGGGCAAACTCCCCTTCATATAACACACAAGATTCCCTTCTGGCCTGATTTCTATTCTCTTCTCCTCTCGAATGCAAAGGTCCAGCCACAAGAGAATTCCTGCCTTTCAGGAGCACATGAAATTCTGCTCACTTAATCAGTGTTCCTTCAGCCTCTCATGTCCTCCTTTTATTGTGTCTACCATGCGCCAGGCAGGTTTAAGTGCTGAGATTATCAGACAGACAAGGTCCCTGTCCTCATGGAGCCCTCATCTCCCACTCAGCTCCAAGGCCCAGCTCCAGTCCACACCTTCCTTGGAATTCTCTCCAGGTCCATCCTTGGGCCTGAGGATGAGGATGAATCTCTCATATACCGCTCCTAGAAGATTTAACCCTCGTTGTCTTGTGCGACATTTGTTGATAAAGGTGTCTCCCAGCTGGGACTACAAACTTCTTGAGGGAGGAGCCCAGGTGGTCTTTTATTTCTGCACTGTGTGAGCGCAATGCCCCATACATCGGGGAGACAATGTCTTTTGAATTATATCACGTCTATCCTTATCTGCTTCGTTATAGTTAAAAAAAAAGAAAGAAAACCACAAAAACGAAAAACTTACAAAGCTTTGCCAATTTTAAAGGAACATGAATACTATTTTTTTAGAGGGAGGTATAGATTAAAAGTTATTGTGGAAAAACTTTAAAAAATAAACACCCCCATTATTGTAACCTGAAAGTTAGGCTTGTAGTCCTTTTGAATACCTGTGTTAATAATTCTACACTGCTCCTTAAGAAATTGTGACCCGGAGGCCATGAGCTTCTAGAGGGCAGAGTTCAAATTCAGGCACCAGATGGCTTCCCACCCTGGAACAAAGGTCTCATCTCTGCAACAGCGGAGAGCTATCCTTAGCCAGGCCAGCTCCTGCTGCCAAAGGCAAAGGAGCATCTCTAAACGATAACCTGGAAGCGGCCTCTCTGGGCCTCACCCACTGAGAGAGGAGAGAGAGCAACACTATTTACCCTTTGAAAAATCCAAATTAGAAATGACAGACTTAAAATCTGATAGGTATGGAAAAAAAATCTCTTTAGACTAGAGAGATTTATGCAAAACATGATCTTGAAGATCTTGGACAGTGACCTTGAAGAACAAGATCTTGGACTTGATCTTGGACAAAGATCAAATGCAACGAACATTTTGGGAGCAATTAGGAATTTTGAGGATGGACTGGGTATTAGATGATATTAAGGGATTATCAATTTTTGTTGGGTCTAGTATGTGGAAAAATGTATCTTTTAGTGATACAAAGTTTAGCATGAATGGAATATTATGATACCTATTATTTTCTTTAAAACACTTCAGTACAAATGGAGTGAGTTATGAAATAAACCAACCAGTTGCTAGAGAAAAGGTGACATTTCAGGGAGTAACTACTTTCCATCTCCCCAGTCCCTTTACCAGCTGGCAGTCTTCCTGAGGTGGGGCGGGTCAACCTTCGCCATGGCGCCTGACGCTGCCCGCCAGCAGGGAAAGCTGTGGGAGCCCCACTCAGGGCAGCTGTGCATCAGAAGGCACATGGAGAGGGGAGAGGGGTCTCTTCTGAAGGGCCTTCCTGCCCTTGTGACAGTCTCCTATTCTGCTCTGATCGAAGTGAAGGGAGAAAACCATCGGCTTACTGCTCAACAACACATGGGGGGCGGGGGTCTTCCTGGTGACAGGGTGAACGCCATTTTGGTTCTGGCTTAGAAATCCCTTCTTTGACTAGAATCACAAATAAATTTTAGGCTTTGCAGCCAATCTGAAAACTAAAATTTTGACTTTTTTTTTACCGCTTCACTGAAATTTTCTCAGTCTCTGCTTCTTTTACATCAGCCCAGAAGGCAAGGAGGAAAACAGTTTTCCAGCAATGAGAATTTTAACAAAAATTTTATTAATACATTCTGGCATGTTCTTGGGATGGAAGAGTCCTTAAAGAACTACCCTACACTAAAGACACTAAAAGTGCTCAAGCCCTAGCTGGTGTGGCTCAGTTGATTGAAGTGTCATCCTGTAACTGAAAGGTTGCAGGTTCAATTCCCAGTCAGGACACATACCCAGGCTGCACATTCGATCCCAGTCCAGGTGCATGGGGGGCGGCAACCAACTGGTGTTTCTGTCTTTCCCATTCTCTCTCTCTAAAAGTAATAGCAAAATGTTCTTGGGTAAGGAGTAAAAAAAAATTCTTAAAAGTGCTCAAGTCCTGGGTCCTCCGTCTATTCTCACAATTCACGCTCCTCTCACAGAGCCGGGCTGGCTGTGCCTCCCCGGGCCCTTGGGTGGAAACAGGTCCCCGCAGTCAGATGCCGACGGTGATGGTGACACTCACTGCCACTGAAAGGGCAGGAGCTCCCACGCACTAAACCAGAACGGAGGAAAACAGCATCAGCTGATCAAACGGAATTCAGACTTTATTTGTCAGAGTCACTCGTTCCACTTCCCTCCAGGAAGGGCTGGGGGAGCTTCAGGATGAGCACGAGGATTCCCACTGCCGGAATATCCGGAACACTTTCCTTGATTTCTCAGAGAGACTCTATAGACAGAAAAGCTCATCATTAGAGATTAAATTCTTTCATAGAGATGAAGGATACATAGTAGCTTTAAGGCTCAGTCTGTAAATTTCTCCCACAGTGATGTAGGTATGACTAGGATTAAGTAAAACAAGTCAACTCCACACAGTGCATGCATAATATACTCCTAAAGCCAGACTAGAAATCAAGAAGCCTGTGTTCTCCTGCTAAGCCTCTTGCCAACACACTCTCAGCCTCTAAAATATGGCTCATGTCCTTCCTCCAAGTATTTGCCCTAATCTTTGCATTTGAGGATGACACTTCTGACCCACCACAGCACAGCACACATTTTGTACTAGCTTCTCATCCGTGATGCTTAATTGGCCCTATTTCATTATTTCTCGTGAAGTAGGGTTCACATTTATGTGATGCCCAGCTGGGGTTAATAGTATAATCCAAGGCCATGGAATAAAACAAAATTAAATGACCCTTAAGAGCTCAAACTATGACCTTGGTCTTCTCAGCTTCATGTTTTAGCCAGCAGAGCTAATAATAGGAAGACTCTCACTGCCATTTGATCATGCCTATGAAGTAACCTGATATTCTGAGAAACCGTGTTACAGGGAGACTAAACAATTCACTGAAACATGAAAAAGTCCTCAGTGATTTGGAACACTTGGTTTGCTGCCTTTGAGAGTCAGAAAGAGCATGCAGGGCCTCAGTGAGAGCACACACAGTCTCTCGCAAGGTAATCTGCAAAGTGACCTCCGGTTTCTGATGTGACATTCTCATTGCTTTTTTATCCTCCGAGGATGAGTGTCTCAATAAAATACAGTCCCAGGAGGGAGAAGTCTGAGCTCTTACCAGAGACCAAGGGGAATTTAGTTAATAAAGTGACAAAGCTGAAACACACTTGTTTCTCAAACAAAGTTGAGAAACTGTAAACTTTTTTCTAACATGTCTTGCTGCAGCCTCGTTAAGCTCTGTACTTCCCAGGCCGAGCAGCAGCCACGGGAGGGTTCAGGAGAAGCTGCCAGAAAGGATTTCAACAGTCCTGGGACCCAAGGCCAAATGTGAGGCCAATTTTTCCACTAAAAAAAAAAAAAAAAAAAAGGTCCTGTGGGATTTCTTGATGGTATGACATTGAGAGAAAAAAGTTAATAAAAACTGTCAGTACACTATTTCATGAGGCTATAGGCAGAGAGAATTTATGTGCAGAGACAGAATTAATCTCTCCAATCTGAGAGGTAAGTCAAACATTTGTCTTCGGATAGCTTTATGTATTTTCAAATTTTTAAATTGGAAAAATGCAGATTTTTTTTCCTGCAAAAAACTTGGAAAACCCTCATTTGTATATTTACTGAGGGCACAAATGTACATTCTTGGGCTTTCAGCATCACTTGAGTTCCTTCCAATGGAGTCCTGTGACCCTGTAAACATCTGCTGTTGAGAACGATTTCACTTTGTCTTTGGAGGGAACAGAGGTCAGAAATTATAATATTTATCCCAGGCGGGCTACAAAGCAACTTAGGGAATGAGCTAACAAAGGAAAGAGAACCCGATTTTTACGGTTCCTTAATGCCCACCTCCTATGCCTTCCAGCCTTTAGGCAGAGCAAACATGACTTGTTTTCTCAGCTGTCATGATGGACTGACACTTCCCCACATCTGTGACCAGTGGCAGTCATGACTGCGGCGCCAAGTCCAGGGCCGTGGCACAGAGCAAAGCGACCCGCCGCCGTGAGGAGGGAAACCGCAGCCCCGTGTCGGAGCACAGTGCCCCAGACGGCTAAATTAACTGGCCAGGCTCCGAAGGCAAGTGACAGCAACTGATGGAAAAAGCAGCTGTTCTGCAACCTGAGGCCGGAGCAGCTGCCTATTCATTGAATTCTATTTTTCTCCTCCTTCTCTCCTTGAGACATTTTAGTTGACAAAGAATTTCTCAGAACCTGACAGAATGCCATATGCTAAACTGCAGAAAGATTGAACCAGTTCCACACCTGTTCTCTGGGACAAAGCAGACTGAGTCTAACTTGATTTGTGGCAGCTGAGGGCAGGCAGCCGCTAATTATAGGACTGGGCTCCGCCCCTCACCCCCAAAGGGAAGGTGCCCCACACCGTCAGGACAAACAGTTCATCTCACCACGGAGTCCGTTTCAGCTGGCTGGCTAGACTGCTTGTGGGCCAGGAGGACGTTCAGCACTGCCTTCCAGCCGGGTTCTGCCGGGCTGCTGGCATCTGCCTCCGTTTCACCATTCTCCCTGGTCTCCTTGCCAAGCGTGATGTTCACCCAAGGGCACCAGTCTCTATGCTGAGAAGTGGGGTCAAAGAAGCTTCGGGGAGACGTGTCCTGAGGGAGGAGAAGAGAAACAGTGTTAACCAAGGGCAGATCTATGTAAATTCAGAGGCACTCCTGTTAGTGGGCAGGTCTGTCCCCGTCTCTCTGCTGTCCTATGCCTGACACACTTACTGCCTCTTCAGAATCCATCCCAAAGAAACAAAGGCAAATCCGTACAATTTTGTCCTCTTTGGGCCACCCCACTGTCCCATCTTTAAACTTAGTCACAGTGTCTACTCATAGCCGCAGGGCCAGGGCGGGCTCACGCCTGCCTCTCTGTGATGCGTGCTGAGGGTGGGCGTGCTCCTGGGGCTCCCCGACCCCCGCACGCACAGGGGCACTCACCGAGCTGCTGGAAGAGCAGAGGCGAGCTCGTTTGGCTCTCCGGACAGGACTGGATGGCACTTCCAGGCCAGAGCTGTCTCCTGTTCCCATGCTCCGGGTCACCGGGCGGGTCCTGGTGGTGGGGCTGGCAGCCTCGGGCTCAGTGCGGTCAACAGGACTGGAAGAGTCCCAGCTCCGAGTTCGGGAGAAGATGGGGCCTGGGCTGCGCTCGGCCTGAGGGACGGGAGATGATAACGGAAGTCTACCAATGCTATGCGTGACTGCGGTCAGGAGAGATATTTCTAGAAGCATGTAAAAGTTACTATTTTATAGTTTAAACCGTAAGAATTTAGTTTCTGAACTGTGTGCATAACCAAATTCTTCAAAGAACATTAGATTGCTACACAAAATAATGAATTTAGCAGTTCCAATGCAACCGCTAAATAAAACCAATGAGGTCAGAAGTGACTCCTAACTTAATTCCCAACTGTTCCACTAACACCACCTCTGGCAAGATTTCTGTTTTTAAAAAGTCCAACACTCAGTTGGTTGGAGCATCGACCCATATACTGTACACAGTACACCAAAAGGTTGTGGGTTTGATTCCCGGTCAGGGCACATACCCAGGCTGCGGGCTCAACTCCTGTTTGGGGTGCGTATGGAAGGCAACTGACTAACGTTTCTCTCTCACATCAGTGTTTCTCTGCCCGCCCTCACCTACCTCTCTCTCTAAAATCTCTCTAAAATCAGCAAACATATCCTCAGGTGAAGAATAAAATAGATAAGTAAATAAAACCAAAAGCCCACTCCAAGCAAGCCAATTAAGTCTATACCTGCTCCGAGCCTGGGGAGAACGTGGTGTCCTGGCTCCGAGTCATCATCCTCCGAGGAGACTCGGGCACTAGGAGCAGGCGCTCCGGGCGCCCCTCAGGGCCTGGGACGGGGGAACTGGTCAGGACAAAGGACGAGTCCAGGTCGTTTGCAGACGACTCGATCTGCTGGAAGCCCCAGAGCCCCACCTTCCTCATACAGTGCGAACACGTGATTAGGGAGAGCTGCGTGGGTTCCAAGGAAGAGCTAGGTGGGAACAGAGAACAAAGTGAGTTTTCACAAAGGATCACATTTCCAAGGGCTAAGTGTAACAATTTGTGAGTATGCTTTTTCTCCCTTAAATTTTGCAGCTTTGTGAGTATGCCTTTTCCCCCTAAATTTTGCAGACTTGTGAGTATGCTTTGTCTCGTCCAACCAACCTCTGGAACAGCCCAGGGATGGGGAGCCACGTCCCCACAGGGTTCTGGTCCCCTGCTCTCAGGACCCCAACTTCATCTTTCTCATTTGTTTCCCTAGAAATATCTAGGGGTCTTGGTGTGCTCTTCTGTGGCAAGACTATTTAAAAGTTACGTTTTATAAATTTCCCTGCCCTTCTTAAAGTGTTTTCCTTTTAAATGAAAATTACTCCTCATCTATTGAAGAAAGCATAGTAAAGCACATCGAGTTCAGCTCCGACAGTCTTCTGCCTCCGAGGGAATCTACACCACACGGAGCGGCCGGGACAGAAGCACCAACACGGGGCCTAGGAGACCCAGCTGGTGCTTCCCTGGTAGTTTTCAATCCATTTAACTCATTTTTCTTCCTTTCTGGGAGTATAAAGGAGGCACACTGTTTATAGGAACACAAATTCTCAGCTGAGACATGACAATGAAAGAAACAAATTTCAGGTATGTTCAGAACTTTCTGAGTTCTAATTCTGGTTTTGTTACTGATCTTACTGTCCCCTCATGTCCCATCCCTTCAATTTCTCTCTACCTCTGTTTTTCTTTTATGATTACCATTATTTAATTAATTGATTTTTAGAGAGAGAGAAGAAAGGGTGGGGAGGGAGAGAGGGGGAGGAAGAGAAAGAGAGAGAGAGAGGAACACCAGTTTGTTGTTTCACTTTTTATGCATTCACTGGTTGGTTCTTGTATGTGCCCTGACTAGGGATCGAACCTATAACCTTGGCATATGGGGACAACGCTTTAACCAACTGAGCTCCCTGGCCAGAACGGTCTCTGTTTTTCTTACAGGAAACACCATGTGATCTCCAAATACTACTGGTGACTGACATGTAAATGGGTGTACAATGTTGTCCCAGCTCAGGTGCCCAGCCAAACCTGACTGACCTGCATGCCCAGCCGCACACAGAGAGAATACAGGCAGTGACATGGACTTGGATGTCAGAGCCTAATTTGGTGGCAGTTTTTCTCTCGTCAGTTCGGTGATCAAGTTCATCTTCAAGCAGGTTCAGGAGAAGACTAATCTTGTCTTCTGTAAAGCACTACAAGGGAACCAAGGTAAAAAGCTTCAAGTTCCCACCACCATGAAAAGAAAATCCCATTTAATGATACAATCAGGGGTGTCCAACCTTTCGGCGTCTCTGCGCCACACACTGGAAGAGGCGGAGTCATCTTGGGCCACATGTTAAATACACGGTGACACATGATCACAAAGTAATCACAGAAAGTTTTAAGTAAATTTACGATTGTGTGTTGGGCCGCAGATACCCCCGGACTGCAGACGATACAAGGCAAAAATCACGGCCCAAATGACAAACACGTGGGGGCAGTTCTCATCATCAGAGAAGAAGTCCTACTAGGACAGGGCCATGGCCTCACTCAGCAGCTTTCCAGATGGCCCTAGGTCTGCTGATCAGGAAAGGTGGCGGCTGTCCTGGAAGGACCAAGTTTTTTCTTAGAACCAACCCGTTTTCAGCTTACCCACTGCAGGCTTTCTCTGCAGCCTACAAACCTCAAACCCGAATAATGAGAAAAGGTTACTGTTTGTATCTTGGCCTGACACTGCATTTACTTTTTGACAGAACAACAGAGCTTGCACAGTCTTTAACACCTCCTGTGGTGCTTCCTCTGGGAAATGGTGCTCAGGAAATCACATGCTGTGACATTTCAGTATCTTCTGTTAGACAGTTTAAGTAACAAAGCAAGATTAAATTGAATTCCTGCCACCTGAAGAACCACATCTCAAAATTTAAATGGAACGCGCCTACTTAAACCCCCACTAGTCACATTTCTGATGGAAACTGAAAATGCTCAGTCGAGTGACCAGCAAATGGTTCTCTTCACAGCAACCTGCACCCTCCCGTCATTAAAAGAAATGCGTCAGTCATGTACAAATGCTGGTGACATCTGGAGGCCACTGCAGGCTAGCCAGGAAAACTCACCATGGTCTTCAAGTCCTCTGGCCTCAGGCAAGGAAGCTGCAGGTCCAGGTGACACAGGCTCTGAAAGCGATCCAGGAACTCAGTAAGGACGACGGCGGGCTCGTTCAAGGGCAACATCCTGAATCGATCTGTGGGGAAGTCAGCTGAAGGGTTATGTGGGTACAAACTGTAGCCAAGCAAGTGTAAAACAATGGGGATATGTAAAATTGGTAAGATATTTGATGGTATTAACAATTACTGATTTTTTTGGGTGGGGCTGTGACGATACTTTTGTGACTGTCTTTAAAAAGCAGAGTCTCAGAAAAAGTTTCTCAGAAGCAGTCAGGTCTAAGCCGAGTGTGAAACACCAATAACAGTGTTAAAGCAAAGGTCCAAGAATGGCACGTGTGAGGGATTTTAAGTAGTTTCACAGGGTTGGAACACGGTATGCCTGTGGGGAGAGTAGCAGGAAATAGTTAGTACAGAGTGGCCAGACCATGGCTTGATTATGTATGTGATGAGAAATCACTGATTTTTTTTTAAAGGAGAAAGTGACAGCATAGATATCATGCATTAGTCTGGAGAGGAGATTATAAGGGGTCTCCGGATGCAAAGAAATAAACTTAGCAGACGTTAAAGTGATTTAAAGTAATAATTTCTGGCCCTGGCCAGGTAGCTCAGTTGGTTGAAGGATTGTCCTGATACACCAAGGTTATAGGTTCCTCAGTCAGGACACATACAAGAATCAACCAGTAAATGCACAAGTAAGTGGAACAACAAACTGATGTTTCTGACCCTGGCCGGTGGCTCAGCTGGTGGGAGCATTCTCCCATACACCAAAAGGTTGCAGGTTTAATTCTCTGTTGGGTGTGTTTAGGTGGCAACTGATCGATGTTTCTCTCCCCCCCGCCCCACTAAAATCAATAAACATGTCCTCAAGTGAAGATAAAAAAAAAAAAAACACAACTAACTAAAATCAGTGGGAAAGATATGGACTTTAGAAAAGCAAGTGAGATTTAGAAATAAAAGGAAACGTGTTCTAACGACCAGGGGCTCCAGTCTGACAAACACGGCAAACACGCGAGAAGAAACCCGGTCCCGACACCTTTCTGATTCTCCCCCTCTAATGCTGGGTGTGGTCTGATCGCTACACCTAGGGCAGTACCGACGAAAACTCACAAAGGCGAAAGAGAAGAAATTAAACCCATCATGCAAATGTTTTAACATAAATTTAATTATATGCTTTCTAATTAATGTATATGAATATCTGTCTATTTCAGTGTTTAAAATGTTCAAAACAATCAGTCGTAGGAAATTAGTAATTGTGATTTTACAATTTTAAAGGAATTTAATTTCGTTTGTAATTATTGATAAAAGTTGGAAGAATATACCTTCAAAATTCTATTTATTAGATGTGCTTAATAAATTTAAGCATTACAGTATAATACGTGTGGGTATTCCTTTCTTCACACAAAAGTCTCTGGAATGCTAAAGAACCAAACCTAGGGATGGTATAACTGGAGGGTCGTATGTGAGATCTACTTAGGGTGGAGCACAGATAGGAGCAGGTGGAGGTGGTAGGGAGAGGCACTGAAGGCAGCTTCCAGGAGTCCAGGTAGGACAACTGGAGAGGGGATGTCAGTATCGTCTACTGAGATGGAGAAAATATAAGAGATGCCAAGTACCAAGTGTCAGATGAAGAATTCAGTTTTTCGTTGAGTTCTAGGTACCTACAAAACATTAAGTAGAAATATTTAAGCCCTGGCTGGCATAGCTCAGTGGATTGAGTGCGGGCTGCGAACCAAAGTGTCACAGGTTTGATTCCCAGTCAGGGCACATGCCTGGCTTGCAGGCCATGGACCCCAGCAACCACACATTGGTGTTTCTCTCTCTCTCTCTCTCTCTCTCTCTTTCTCTCTCCCTTCCCTCTCTAAAAATAAATTAAAAATCTTAAAAAAAGAGAGAAAAATATTTAGAAGGTATAGGTCTAAATATAGGTCCCGCTCAAAAGAGGGGTCTGGGTAGGAGTCAGAGGTCTTTAAGTGGGTGGTGGCTGAAGTCAAGAACAGGGTCAGGAGAGTGAGAGAAGGGAAGCACCAATGGAGCTCGGAGCTTGAGGCAGACACCCCCAAACCCGGCCTGAGCGCACTGGCCCCAGGTGAATTACATCCTCACAGGACTGAGTCTCATGTGCTACCCGAAGAAACAGCTAGGCCAACAGTGGAAACCCTTGTTATACGGTCATCTTTACTTTTTTTTTTTTTTGGCAGCGAGGAACTTGAAACTTTAATCATTGAAGACCCTTTCCCCAAATCACATTAATTGGGAAACTTAAGTACAATTTACCCAGTAACATTCTCTTTTCATGTACCCTATTTCATAATATTAAAATAATTCATGTTGTATCGATTTCCAGGGGGTTAAGATCCTTAGGTATTTAATTAATACTAGTAACCATCTGTGCTCCTAACCCTACCGTAGACAAAATGAATGTTTAGAGACCAAAGCTGGCCGGGAGAAGCTGGCACTACCCACTTGGTGGGCTTCCGTGACCCCCTTCTTTACCCTTCCTTACATTATGAAGCAGTCAGAACAGCTGGAGGGACTTCCCGCGTGTAGCGTATCACTGATCTACTAACTTCAGACTTAACTTAAAACCAAAAATTTGGATCTTGGACTTAACTTAAAACCAAAAATTTGGATCTTGGAATTTCATTTTTTTTAATTTAAATTTCATTTTTTAATTACAGTTTATATTCAATATTATTTTGTATTAGTTTTAGGTGTATAACATGGTGATTAGACAATCATATAGTACTTTACAAAGTGTTGTCACCTTCACTTTAAAAATGTTACTTGTGCCCTGGCTGGTATGGCTCAGTGGACTGAGTGCCGGCCTGTGAACCAAAGGGTCACTGGTTCGATCTCCAGTCAGGGCACATGTTTGGGTAGCAGGCTGGGTTCCCGGTGGGGGCATGTGAGAAGCAACCACACACTGATGCTTCTCTCCCTCTCTTCCTCCCTCCCTTCCTCTCTCTCTAAAAATAAGTAAAATATTTTTAATAAATAAAGAGAAAGACCATTAAAAAAAAAGATTATTCACTTGTTCTACAGTGTTTTGCACACACAGCAGGGGTCCCTGCTTTGACAGAGTGCATCCTGCCACGGCCCTGCCACAGGGAGAACAACAGGGTGCCTGCCCCCAGCTGCGGACCCAGACCTCTGCGGGACAGTCTTCCACTGCGATGATACCCTGACTGCAAAGCTGTCATTGGAGTGTGCATTTTTACTGTCACAAACTGTAGATCTGCAATCACTCTTATTTGGGGTTCTGAGGGTCTTCTTTAGCAGCAGCCCTGTATGTTATTAGTGCTGTCTGTGCACCAAGGGAAGCCAAGGTAGAACACGGGGCTGCTTGCTGTCTTAGGGAAAGCAGAGGGTTTGAAAGTGGATACAACCCTAGCTACGGGTCCTCGCTAGGTGGTTTTAAGACTTCTGATTCTCAGTGTCCTCACCTAAAAAACCTGAGTTGATGATGTGTACATCCCAGCGCCCCTGCGAGGATTAAATAGGATAATACATGCGTGGCGAAGCTTTTGGCATGTCAAATGCACTTAATTAAGTTAAGCAGCAGTGTAATAAATAAATGAATATAAGGTACTTCTTCTTGAAAAGCATGAATATAAAGACAGACCAACAACTTCAAAGACTAGATTTTCACAAAATAAACTGACAATATCACAAGTGCAATGACCAAGGAGAGGAAGTTAGTGGGAAATCGTGGAAACGAGTACCTGGAGAGGGGCTGTCTGGCCAGAAACAGAACTTCTCGTGGGCTGTGCACAAGGCTCTCTTCAGCTCCGCACATCGGTCCTTGTCTGAAACCCACACGGGTAACAACACTTAAAAAAACACTGGGCAGATTCAAAATCCAATGGCCAAATGCCTTAAGAGTACAGACTCGACTAAATATAGAAATAACTAAGAAAATTTAAAAATATATGAAAATATTAGCAACTGCATCATCTTAATATCTTCTACAAAATAAGTTCTAAATCAAGATTCTAAGATTGATAACAAAGAAGGTACCATGTATCTTACAAGGCAGGGCATTCCAAAGTATGAGCCTGCACAAAAGTCCTATATCTCTTTGCCTAAGCATAAAATTTAGAACCACAGAGTAAACATACTACTGTTAGTTTCCCAGAATAAAGTCAAGTTCACTCTAAAGTAGTTTAGTTTTTTAATAAAGTTAATGACTGAAGTTTGTAATTAGAGTGAAGACAAGCACAAATTCACCTTGTTATATTTGAGGGGGGACCCAAAAAACTTGGAATTATCTTTTGGAGGGCGGGCCCCTTCTACCACAGGCTTCCCTTGCTAGATGAGTGTTCTAGGAACCCTTTTGTATCAGCAGACCAGTTGTCGTTGTTGTGAGAGGTTGTGTTCGGCCTCACTGAATTTTCTTGTGAAGACTCTTTCAATGAGTTTGCCCATTTCATGATGGGTGATTTAGGAGCACACCTGTCCACACCTGCAGAGTGTCCAGCAGTTTTTGACCCAAAACAGCAAGACCCCAGTGCCCCACCCTCTCTATTCATCTGATCTTGCCCCAGGTGACTTTCTGTTTCTCTGGATGAAAAAAGTCCTCAAAGGGAAACGTTTTTGCCAATGTGGAAGAGGTGAAACAAAAAATGGCAGAAGCACCAAAAGGCATCAAAATTGACTAGTTCAAAAACTGTTTTGAGCACTGGAAAAAACATCTCAACAGGGATTTTGCACCAAATGGAGAGTATTTCAGAGGTGACCGAAGTTTAAACGTGTAAGAATAAATACATAAGAATAAATACACAATTTTCTTATAAATAAGTTCCGGGGTTTTTTTGGGTCCCCCCTTGTATAGTAATACACATTCTTTGATCAAATAAGTGACTGGTCTTTTCAGAAAAACTAGCAGAGTGTATTTTGAGTATGGAGAAAAATGCAAGCTGCACTTTATACTCACATCTGTCGAAATCGAACGCTGGCTGCAAACTGGCACAGAGAAAAGCTTGACAGCTGGAGCACTTGAGCATGTCGCACTCCACGGTGACCCAGCCGTACTTCGCACAGACAAGTGGAGACAGCTCGGGGGGCTTGCCTGCCCATTTCAAAGAGTGCCCACGTTAAGAAAAAGAACACTGCAAGTGTATTGAAACGACTAAGTCAGAAATTGAAGTTTTCACTCATTCTTTATGTAAATAGAAACATATTAAAATGAGGGGAAAAGCAGTAGGAAAGAGCGTTAAAACGATTTTTAAAGAACAGGTACATAACTTCACATAATGATGAAGGTCGTTTGAGTAATAAGTAGGGCGAAAAAGTTATTAACCTTTTCTCTAGGAAGCCCTGTGTATTTTATATCTTTAAAATGTCTATTTTATTACTGGTGTGAGGTAGCACACAGAAGCCATTCACAGGCACCTAATGTGACACACTGGGGATGCAGAAACACTGGCGGAAGCACTGGGACATGCCTGAGCAAGAGAGAGCGTGGTGAAAGTCAAACAAGTGGAAATATTTTCCGCCACCTACCTATGCGCCCCTGTTGTGCCACATCCATTTTCACCTCCCAAGGAGCAGTTAGTCAAATTAATTGTGCTCTTCCTTATTTCCCCTGCCCCAAATCCGACGGTCATTACCGGTGTATGTATGTAGTCTGTGTAGTTTCAACAGGCTGGGAGCATCGACAGCACCTCCAAGTACGTGCTTGGGAAAATGTTCTCAAACATTCATTGATATTTAATATTCAGCACTTGGCTTTTTATATTTTACCTAAAGAATTCTGATTTTACACAATATAGGGAGGGAAAGGATAAAACATGGAAGAAGATGTAGGAAAGTTCTACATTTTTATAAGAAATGTGAGAATTTGTAAATATGCCAGTATCAGCAAAAGGAGGATTTGAGGCCAGAAAACAGAATTGAGATGTAAATGTTAAAAGAGCTGGGATTATCTAGAATAAAATAGAATCATTTAACTAGCTTAAGTTAGATAAATAACTATCATTTATATATTTATAATTGTATATACTTATAGTGATCAATTTGTATCCAATGACAACAAATAGAATAAAAAGAAAATGATTCTAAATACTATATTAAAATCACAAATTAGTCCAACAGACAACTAGAGCATCTAAATATATAATGACAGTAACGGATTATAACCCATTGACTAAAAAAAGGAAATTGTGAGACCATGCTGTTACTAATAAAGAAATTATAGAAAGTCTGATGGGGATATTAGCATAATCTCGAAGCATCTCCCCACAAAACACTTTAATTACAAAGGAGGAAAGAGTGACTTCACCATGGAAATGACTGACAGACACTCCCTCTTATCAAGTACCAAAGTGATGATCATTGCCGGTAAAGGGAAAAATCAAAATCCTGTGCCACTCAACAGGATGCAATGAGAACACACCACTTCTGAAACGCCCCTGCATTACCCGAATCTAATCACAAGGAAGTACCAGGCACATGTGAACTGAAGTATACCCTGCAAAATAAGTGGCCTCACCCCCCTCGCCTCTTTGCCTGCTCCAACAAGATCAGATGTTTTGTGGTCAAAAGGTCCCTGGCAAGTTGATGCAGGAAGACCTGGCCACCGATGATGTCATTCTCCTAGACATATGGGACCAGGTCCTTGTCTGGGTTGGAAGGGATTCTCAAGAAGAGGCAAAGACAGAAGCCTTGACCTTTGCTAAACAATATACATAAAGACAAACCCAGCTAATTGCAATATGCGGACCCCTGTCACTGTGGCCCAGCGAGGCTTCGAGCCTCCCTCTTTCGTGGGCTCGTCCTCGGGTGGGATGACAACTACTGGTCTGTGGAACCTTTGGACAGGGCCATTGCTGAGCTGGCTGCCTGAGGAAGGTAGGTCTCATCCGGGTTACTTGTCAGTGCCTTTTAGAACTGTCCATCCCTCAAAGAGACCTTGTAGCAGGGCCACTCAGGTACGTGTGTGTGTTTTTTACAGTAGCCAAAATCAGCCCTGCGAAAATTCAGGGTCCTGTCGAAATTGTCTCAGGTATCTGTGCTTTTGGGAATTAAAGTCAAGAAAAGCTTTTTTGAAGTGTGAAAAATAAATAACTGGCCTGTAATCTTAAAAAATATCAACATCATGAACTTCGAGGAAAAACTGGGATTCTCAACTGGATCCTTATGCTATAAAGAACATTACTGGACTTCCGGCAAGATGGAAGCATAGGTGGACGCACCGAACCTCACGCACAACCAAGATTAGAGCAACAACAATTTAGAGGCAGAATAACACCCAGAACTGATAGAGAATTTATCTGAATGGAAGTCGGACGGCCAAGAAGTTGAAGTAGACCCATTCTTCCAGACCGGTAGGAGGGGCGGAGACAAGCAGCCGGGCGCAGGTTGCGGCGCAGAGAGCAGTGGGTACATAAGGCAACCGGGAGCGCGTAAGGCATCTGGGGCGTGCAGGATCGCAGCGGATCAACCCTGAGTACGTGAGCTGCAGCTGGCGGACCCAGTGAGGTGGCAATTGTGGAGCAGGGCAGAGCGCGCAGCCCAGGATCCCAGGGAAGGAACTATGGTCTCAGGAGAGCGGAGGTACCGCCATTGTTCCCTCCCGCCCCTGCCCCCTCATACAACATCACAGTCTAGCGACTGGGGTGCCCAGCTCTGGTGAACACCTAAGGCTCCGCCCCTCACCGTAACAGGAGCGACCAGACCAAAAAAAAAAAAAAAAAAGAGAGAGAGAGAGAGAGAGATGTCTCAAACAGCAAAACAGATCAATGCTCCAGGGCTCATCCTTTTGAGCAACCAAGAGATAGCCAATCTATCAGATGCACAGTTTAAAACACTGGTGATCAGGAATCTCACAGAATTGGTTGATTTTGGGCGCTAATTAGATTAAAAAAATGCAGGTTACTATAAAAGAGATGAAGATGCACAGAGAACCAATAATGTTGGGAAGGAAACTGGGACTCAAAACAATATAGTGGACCAGAAGGAAGAAAAAAAGAACCAAACAGGAAAGAATGAAGAAATAAGAATTCAAAAAAACAAGGAGAGGCTTTGGAACCTCCAGGACATCTTTAAATGTTCCAACATCCGAATTATAGGGGTACCAGAAGGAGAAGAGGAAAAGCAACAGATTGAACACGTATTTGAACAAATAATAAAGATGGAGAACATCCCCATTCTGGCAAAGGAAATAGACTTCCAGGAAGTCCAGAAAGCTCAGAGAGCCCCAAAGAAGTTGGACCCAAGAAGAAACACACCAAGGCACATCATAATTACATTATCCAAGATTAAAATGAAGGAGAGAATCCTAGAAGCAGCAAGAGATAACGGGATAGTCACCTACAAAGGAGTTCCCATCAGACTCTCAGCTGATTTCTCAAAAGAGACCTTACAGGCAGGAAGGGGCTGGAAAGAAATATTCCAAGTCATGAAAGACAAGGACCTATATCCCAGAATACTTTATCCAGCAAAGCTTTCATTTAGAATGGGAGGGCAGATAAAGTGCTTCTCAGATAAGGTCAAGTTAAAGGAGTTCATCATCACCAAGCCCTTATTTTATGAAATGTTAAAGGGACTTATCTAAGAAAAGAAGATAAAAACATGTACAGTAAAAGGACAGCAAACTCACAATTATTAACAACCACACTTAAAATGAAAAGAAACTAAGTGAACAACTAGAACAGGAACAGAACCACAGAAATGGAGATCACATGGAGGGTTAGCAACAGGGGAGTGGGACGAGGAGAGAGGGGGAAAAGGTACAGAGAATAAGTAGCATAGATTGTAGGTTGAAAATAGATAGGGGGATGGTAAGAATAGTATGGGAAATGTAAGAGCTAAAGAACTTATAAGTATGACACATGGACATGACTAAAGGGGGGGATATGGGTGGGAGAGGGTGTACAGGGTGGAGGGGAGTGAAGGGGGGAAAATGGGACAACTGTAATAGCATAATCAATAAAATATATTTAAAAAAATAAGTAAGCTCTTCTACAAAAAAAAAAAGAAAGAACATTACTGAGTCTTAGCTGGGTAGCTCAGTTAGTTAGAACATCATCCTGATACACCAAGGTTGCAGGTTCATTCTCCCATCGGGGCACATACAAGAAGCAACCAATGAATGCATAAAATGCATAAATAAGTGGAATAACAAATCAATGTCTCTCTCTCTCTCTCTCACTCTAAAATTAATCAATTAAATTTTTTTAAAAAATTATTGGGACAATAGATGAAATAATTGGGGTCAGAGGGTTAGATGGTAGTAATTTATTATGTGAATTTCTTTTTTTTTTTAATTAAAGATTTTGTTTATTTTTAGAGAGAAGGAAAGAGAGAAGGAAACATCAATATGTGGTTGCCTCTCATGCACCCCCCACTGAGGACCTGGCCCTCAACCCAGACATGTGCCCTAAGAATCAAACCAGAGACTCCCTGGTTCACAGGCTGACACTCAATCCACTGAGCCATACCAGCCAGGGCTATTATGTGAATTTCTTGATTTTGATGATTGCATTTTGATTACCAAGGAAATATCCTTGTTTGCGGGAAATATTTGGGGACTTTGGCAACTTAACTTTCAGGTAGCCCAGGAAGAAAGTTCCTTTTAACCTGTGCAACTTTTCTGTAAGTCTATAACTATTTAAAAATCAGCAAAAGTGATGGGACGTCACTTCTGAGATTAGGTTACAAAGAGTCTAGCTTCTGTCTTGCTCTCAGCTTCCATGCTGTGGGCTTTCCATGGAAAGGCCCATGTGGAAGGAACATGGGGAAGTCTCCAGGCAACAGCCAGAACACCGCTGAAGCCCTCAATCCGACAGTCACTAGGAAACAAATCCTGTCAACGACCATGTTAGATCCCAAGTGGATTCTTTCCCAGTAGACCCCTAGGATGACTACAGCCACAGCGTATACTTCAGAGCAGTCCGTTGGAAACCCTGAGTCAGAGGGCTCAGTTAAGCTGTGCCTGGATTTCTGATCCTCAAAGACTGTGAGATAATGACAGTTTCTTGTTTGAAGCCACAGAATTTTAAGGTAATTTGTTTCACAACAATACATCTAACATACAGAAATCTACACAGAAAGAAAAAGCACAGTAGTTTCAAAAAAAAAATTAGGTTTGGTTGCCAAGAGCCTTACATTATATTCCTGCCTCTGCTACATGCTAGCAGGCTGACCTTTGTCAAGTCACATTGCCTGTGTGAACTGCTTCCTCTTCGGTAAAATGAGTATAATAATAGTGATACCTGTTTTCACAGGTTTAAGGTGAAGATCAAATGTGATAATATATGTGAAAACATGTAATGTACAAATGTTAGTTATTGTTCCTTCTCCTCTCAGGCTTAGTTTTTTCTTCTGTAAAAGGAGGTTAGATCATCTAAATGTTCCCTTGAGGACAGCATTTTTTTTTTAACCTTCACCCAAGGATATGTTTATTGATTTCAGAGAGGGGAGGTGAGAGAGAGAAACACTGATGTGAGAGAGAAACATTGACTGGCGATCTCCCGTATGTACCCCAACTGGGGATTGAACCTGCAACCTTTCGTGTACAGGTCTATGCTCCAACCCGAATGAACCACCCAGTCAGGGCTGAGAGATATATAGCTAATTTTTCTATAAAATTTCTTATCAAGTTTAATTCTTAAATTTAAGACATCAGAGTAAGTAATATTATTCCCAAGGGCACAATTCCAGCAGTAGGCAGAAAGTACAACTCACATGAACCAAAAAAGGATATAGAAAATGTTTCCACTCTGCTAAAGAAGGCTTCTTTGCTTGTAGATTCCAGTGGAGGTTGTTCTGCTTCAGGTGATCCATTAACTGACTGGAATGTGGCAGAGGTCTCCTTCCTAAATGAAGTGGCAGAACTGTCAGTAAGCCCTGGCATCACTTTGCTTAAACATTTCATTTCTAGCTTCTCTGCACTCCGTATCATCAATCACACCACACTGGATTTTAACCTTTCTAAAAATCATTTCAGTCATGTTATTCCTCTGCTTAGCATTTTCAATGATTGCACAATACAGTCGGCCCTCTGTATCCACAGGTTCCACATGTGCAGATTCAACCAACTGCCAACAGAAAATATTCGGGGAAAAAAATTATGTTTTTGCGCAAGTGAGCTATGTAGTTAGGCCTATGGTGGTTGCGTCCAAATGGAATAGCACTTTCTTTTCCTTGTTATTATTTCCTAAACAACTCAGTGTAACAACTATTTACACTGCATTAAGTATTATAAGGGATCTAGAGATGAGTTAAAGTATATGGGAGGATGAGCATAGGTTATATGCAAACACTATGTCATTCTATATAAAGGACTTTGGCATCTGAGGATTTTGTTATCTGAATGTGGTCCTGGATGATGGTACTTACTAAATAGAACCCAAATTCTTTAGTCTTGGCATTCAAATCTCTTTACAGTTCAGCCATACCTAAGTTTAAGCAAATTCTACCTGCACAGTGCTCCACTAATCCTACACTGGCAATCTGTTCATCTGGCTCACTCACTGTTCCCTAATAATATTTTGTGTAACTTCAGTAAACACAAAATAAGACTCTGGACTTCTCTGCATCATACAATTTGAACCACCTTAGAAATTAAATTCTTATAAGAGCAGAAAAACAATCTTGATACTCCTACCTGGATCAACCCTTGACATCCACTCCTCGCCAAAACACATGCATTTGAAAAGTCAAATAAAAGTAAAGACTTTTTGGCAATTTTGTGAAAAAAATTCAGGGAGAAAAAAATGGGCAAAAAGCAATTCTCTTATTTTCAGTGAATGGTATTTCAAGAGTGCCTGGGGAGGGGTATAGGGAGGAACTGCTGAAGAGAAAAGTCATTTTAATAAAATTGGTCTTACTCGAAAGAAAGACATTTATTATAAGAGTCCTCAGAAAGTCACAGAGAACCTCAAGGAGGTGTGGTTCTTGGAAAAAACTCAGGATTCATAAACTTGGAAGGGGAAAAAATGACATTTATTTTACTAACCTCTAACTGAAATTTAGCATTTCCTTCAATTATAAAGATAATATATAAAACCATAGTAGCAGCAGCAATACCTATGAATTTGTAGCAAACGGAAATTACAGATATTCTGTCACCACATTATGGTTGCTGCATGTATTTTGAAATACAGTTTATGCTTATCACTACAAAATTATATGGCTAAATATTATTTAAATCTTTAATAATCAAGCATGTTACTGAACCACTCCTTTTCTACTCCCTTGATTAACTCCATTCCAGCGTAAATGGTTTCCTTTATAATCCTATGTCCTTTACTTATACATAAAATATTGTTCAGAAGGGGTTCAAAAGCTTTACAAGGCTGCCAAAGGTGTCTACAGCTAAAAAATGGGGCTAAGAAGCCCGACTAAGAGATACCAGGTATGCGCAGTTAGCGGTCTTTTTTCCTTTCCTCCAAAACCTGACTTACGGCAATATTCTGTCCCTTAATGCCGAATCGTCTACATGCCGAAGAAATTAAAGCAGACTAAGCATAGCAACCCCAGTTTCTCTCCCGTCCCGGGACCAAGCTAACCTCACCACCCGAGTCGCCCACGCAGGGGATCCCCCAAGGCCTGACTCCTGCCAACCCGGTTCAATCAACCAGCACCAGACCAAGGTGGACTCTCGAACTCACGTTTCAGTGCCTCCCTCTTCCAGGGCAATCCCCTCATCTATCAGCTGCCGGACTTTCTGGGGAGTCCCTTCTGGGGAGCGAACAACCGCACCCCAATTCTTTTCAACCCCCACAGCAAATACTGGCCCCTCGCTGGGCGCCGCCATCTTGGTCCGTTGCCGAGTTGCTTCCCCGCGGGTTTGACGGCTGAGGAACTTCCGTTCTAGGGAGCTTAACATCCTCCCGCGCGTGCCGACGGGACCCGCTCGCAGAATGTGACCGCGGGGCTCAACCCTTCTTGGACCTGTTAGAACCATGCAAACCGCAGGAGGGCTCTGGTGTTTAGATTTCGATCACAATCGTTTCCTTTATGCAAGAGCATTTTGGGGCTGATGAAGGGGGTTTTAGAGAGCTGTCTCTCCAGATTAAGCAGGAAGGGGCCCAATTTAGTCTTCAAATAATTAACTTAAATGGCCCTCTTAAATTATCTTTTTACATGTGAGGAATTGGCGATTGTCACTTGGGAGTAAGTTATTTAGAATCCTTAGAAGCGATATTACGGGTGGGTGTAGAAGTCTGACATTTGGCATTGGTGAACACTCCCTCCTTTGTCCAACAAATACATTTATTTAATATGTCCTACTGACGCTGCCCTAGAGGCTGGCAATAACAGCAGTGAGCAAAGGAGATGTAGTTGTTAGTGGACTTAGACACCAAACATCTCTTCCTATAGTTTTGAAATTATATGCGTTCCAAAGAAGAGGGGTTTAAAAGGAGGACCCCACTTAATTTAGTTTGCAGAGTCTCCTGAGAGTATTAGGTGCTGGAACTAAAAATGCATGAGATTGTGGGAAAGAGATCTGTCCAGAATCGTACAACATCCCACACTGGAAAGAGTTTGTCTTATATAATCAACTGAAAAAGAAGACTGCCATGACTGAGCAGTGGGCAGACGAAAGCTTCCTATGGGCTCCTAACTTCAATTATCTTCCCACTCACCTTTAACCTGTTACCCTAACCACCTTTCCATTGCCCCAACTCTACTACCTTTCTTATTTCTTCTTTTCTTAGCCAGCTTAAGTTGATTGCCAAGCATTATCATTATTTCTTTGCAAAATTGAATATGGACTGAGAATTAGTTAATATTAAAGAAGTATTATTCACCGTAAAAGTCCTAGAGGAGAACATAGGCAGGAAATTTTCAGATATCGCACGCAGCAAATTTCACCGATATGTCTCCTAGAGCAAGGGATGTAAAGGAAAGAATAAACAAATGGTACTACATCAAATTAAAAAAATTCTGCACAACTAAATAATACATCAGCAAAATGAAAAGGGAACCAACTGTATGGGAAAACATATTAGCCAATGTTACCTTGGACAAGGGTTTGAGCTCCAAAATATATAAAGAACTCACATGACTCCCCTCAGGGAAGACAAACAATCCAATTAAAAAATTGGCAAAGGACCTGAACAGACACTTCTTCAAGGACATACAGAGGGCCCAGGGACATATGAAAGGATGCTTACTTAGCATCTCTAGCCATCAGAGAGATGCAAATTAAAACCACAATAAGATACCACCTCACACTGGCCAGAATGGCCATCATAAACAAATCAACAAACAAGTACTGGTGAGGATGTGGAGAAGTTTCCCATAGTACACTGTTGGTGGGAACGCAGACTGGTGCAGCCACTGTGGAAAACTGTATGGAATTTCCTAAGAAGACCAAAAATGGAGCTGTCTTTTGATCTACTGATTCCACTGCTGGGATTATACCCTAAGAATCCTGAAACACCAATTCAAAATAACCTAAGCACCCCAATGTTCATAGCAGCATTATTTATAATAGCCAAGTGTTGGAAACAGCCTAAATGCCCATCAGTAAATGAATGGATCAAAAAATTGTAGTACATTTACACAATGGAATACTATGCAGTGGAAAGAAAGAAGGGACTCCTACCCTTTGTGATAGCGTGGATGGAACTGGAGAGCATTATGTGAAGTGAATAAGACAGGAGATAAAAGATAAATACCATATGATTTCATCTATAAGTGGAAACTAATCAACAAAACAAGCAAGCAAGCAAAGTAGAACCAGAGACATGGAAATAAAGAACAATCTGACAGTGACCAGAGGGGAGGGGAAGGGAGATAACTGGGGAAAGATGGGGAAGGGTCAAGTGAAGGAACAGGTATAAAGGGTCCATGGACAAGGACAATGGGGCAGGGGGAGAATTGAATGTGGGAGGGTGTGGGCAGGGCAGGGGAGAGCAAGGTGGGGTGGGGGGAATGAGGACAACTGTAATTGAACAACAATAAAAAAATTGAAGAAATTATTGTTAGTTTTGTCATATGTGGTAATGATATTGTGATTATGGTTTTTTAAAGTCCTTACTTAGATATATCTTGAGGTATTTATGGGTGAAGCAATCTGGGAATGTTTTATTCTTATTTATTATACTGCAGTTGTCCCAATCTTTCCCCCTTTGTCCTCTTTTTCCCACCCCAGCTCCCAGTCCCACAGTCAATCCCCACACCATTGTTCATGTCAGTGGGTTATTCATAGAAGGCTTTTGACTAATCCTTTCTCCTTCTTTCCACCATCCCACCTCCATCCCCCCTTTTGGCAGCTGTCAGTCTGTTCCATGCTTCCACGTCTCTGGTTCTGTTTTGTTCATTAGTTTATTTTGTTTATTAGATTCCTCTTATAAGTGCGATTATATGGTATTTGTCTTTCACCAACTGGCTTATTTCACTTAGCATAATAGTCTCCAGTTCCATCTATGCTGTCTCGAAAGAGAGGAACTCCTTCTTTCTTTCTGCTGCATAGTGTTCCACTGTGTAAATTTACCACAGTTTTTAATTCATTCATCTATTGATGGGCACTTAGGCTGTTTCCAACACCTGGCTATTGTAAATAGTGCTGCTACAAACATAGGGGTGCATAAGTTCTTTTGAATTGGTGTTTCGGGAGTCTTACGGTAAGGATTTTTAAAAATACATATTTTATTCATTTATTTTTAGAGAGGGGGAGGGAGGGAGAAAGAGAGGGAGAGAAACCTCAATGTGAGAGAGAAACAGCGATCCTTAAGCCTTCCACACCTGCACCTGGCCATCTTCCCTGCCTGCTGAGGACTTTGCTTCCTATCTCACTTTAAAAATTAGAGCAATCAGAAGAGAACTTCCACAAATTTCCACCACCAGGTCTGTCCACTAGCATGTAGAGTACTGAGAATTTCTTGTTTCCACATTCCCGTGGTAACAGCCAGAAATCATAACCAGTTTTACTTTCAACGGATCTATAACTTACCTGAGAGAATAGGCTTTTGCAAGCCCAATCAACGACAACCATTTGATTTTGAAAATCAGCCAATCACAGAGACGCACTTCAGTAAACACACCGGAAGGCCAACTGGTCGACTGTAGTTTCACCCGCGTTGTCGCTTCTGCAGTGATGTCAACACAGTTCAACATCTGAAAGTTCACCAGTGCCTGGATTACCCACTTTCTCAAAATCCAGTATAAGATTAGCAGCCTGGTCTTCTCAAAGCCATGCCTGACCAGCATGGCTCTCACTGTCTCTAGTAAGCAATAAATTCAACATTGTCTTTTTATTTCATATTGAGCGGTTATCTTATCTTCTGATCGTGCTTCTTTCCTGTTACTGTAGATCAGTAGTTCTCAAGTGGGCACAATTTTGCCCCACAGGACATATTGGTATTTTCTGGAGACATTGTTGGTTGTTACATTCGTGGTGGTAGAAGTTGGTGATACTGCAAAACGTTGTAACAATGCACAGGATGGCCCTCCACAACAAAGAATTACCTCGCCCAAAAAGTGCAGAAATTGAGAAACCCTGCTGCAGTCTGTGCTTCTATCTAAGGCCAACTTTATACACTTGACCTAATAACCCGCTCTTGCCTACCCAAGGACCTTGCCCAACAGTTCTCCCTTCTTACTGAACCTTTCCATCAGCACCAAGATATTATTTCTCCCACCTTAAAAACAAAACAAAAACCTTCTCTGATTTCAGTTCCTCCTTCAGCCACCGCTCCATTTATCTGCTCTTCTTTACAATAAAAGTCCTTGAAAAATACATATCTGCCCTGATTCTACTAACTTCTATTTCCTCTCATTGTTTTTGCTGCACTGGCCTCCTTACTCCCAGTACCCTCTGCCTGGAAGGCTCTTCCAGATACCCACATGGCTCGCTCCCATCACATCCTTCAATTCTTTTGTGACTTCCTTATTCTAACGTCGCCTTCTCACCAGTGAGAACTATCCCGACCACTCTACACCAATTTGCAATCCCCATCCCCCAACACACATCTAGGATTCCTCTTCCACTTACCATGCTCTGTTGTTCTTGACGGTGCTTACCTTCTTCTACCATACTATATAATTCTCTAATGTTTATTTCTCTCTTTCCCTATCCTCATCAAAATATAATCTTTATAATCTCCATAAGAGTAGGAGTTTTAGCCCTGACTGGTGTGGCTTAGTGGATTGAGCACCGGCCTGCGAACCAAAGGGCTGCAGGTTTGATTCCCACCCAGTCAGGGTACATGCCAGGGTTGCAGGCCAGGTTCCCAGTGGGAGGTGTGTGAGAGGCAACTACACACTGATGTTTCTCTCTCTTTTTCCCTCTTTTCCTCTCTCTAAAAATAAATAAATAAAATCTTTAAAAGTAAGAGTAGGAGTTTTGAATTTTTGGTTAACTGCTGTGTACCCAGTATCTATAACAGTAGACACTCAAATAAATAGCTTTCAATGAATGTATACAAACCTTTTAAAGGATTTAGACTTTATCCCAATGCCCAAGACAGCCATCGAAAGACGTTAAACAGCACAGTAGCATGAACAGTTGTGATTTTGGGAAAGATCACTCAGAGAACTCTGTGAAGAGTGGATTGGAGCCAAGAGAGGATATAGAACGACCATTAGGAGCTTGCTAAGGAAGCCCCTGTGGAAGGTGATGATGGGCCAAGACCAGGGTAGGGATAGCTGGAGGTGGGAAGGTTCAAGATGTATTTTGGGTTACACATAGCAGGCGAGGGAACTGATTTCAAGGAGGACTGGACAATCTGTATGTATACACATATGTATATGTACATACATTATTTACACATTTCCATACATATAGGTGTACATTTGTGTGCATGGGTGTGTGACATCTTGTCTCTT